CATGCAATTAAGTTTCTTCGATAACATAGTGAAAATATAAGTTGGGTGCTTTTGTGTAGAAGTACATCCAAACACAACTTATATTTTTGCTCAAAATTGATTAGTGTTAGACCGGTAGGCATATGATGTCATTTTGTTATTATATTGTGGTAGGGTCAACTAATCTACCATTTGGTGTTAACTATTTATTTTAATTGTAAGAAGTGGATCTCTAGAATAGTGATACTAACGGGTGAAATCAATTAATATAATCAAACACATTAATATGTTGGGTGAACATTTATTCGTATTGGGAAACCATCACTCCATTAGAAGGGTAAATTGATCTACTGAGATATTTCCTACTGAACGTGTTTGGTTCACATGGAACTATTGGACATACGGGAACTTGAGTTAAAAAATAATTAGAATGGCAAAACAGTCTTTTGCTCTTTATGTATTTTAATACTCGGGTAATTAGCACAAAACGTTCTTACATTTCAATATTATTATGCAAAACGTTCATACATTTCATTTTTTGCCACTTTTAATTTACGTTCACCTTTTATTGCGAAAATAATCCTTTTTCATCAAATTTCTGGTGTAAAATGACTAATATAGCCTCTATTTAAATAAAACAATAAAAAAAGAAAAGAAAAGTTAAAGAAAAAATTGCAATCACGCTATCAAAATTTTTAAAAAAGTGCAAATTAGTCTAAATAAATTATTAAAAGGGTAATTAGCAAAAAAATGTCACTATCTTTCATTATTATTGTGCAAAATGTTCATACCTTTCATTTTTTGACATTTTCACCCTTTTTTTATATGTCATTGTAAAAATCATTATTTCATCTATTTTCTAAACTAAAAGCCGTAAAATGACAAATATATCATCCTCTTTAAATAAACAAAAAGAAAAATAAAGAACAAATTGGAATTATACTCTCAAAAATTTCCAAAAAAATAAATAAATAATAAATATTTAAAACACAAAATAAATTTCAAAGAAATAATTAAAAAAACAAAAATCACATTCTTTTTTAATTATTTATTTATATTTTTTGAAAATTTTGGAAATATAGCTGCAACTTGTTTTTTATTTTTATTTTTATTTTTTTATTTGAAGAGGAGTTTATTTTGTCATTTTACAATTTTTAATTGAGAAAATGAATGAAAATAATGATTTTCGCAATGAAATATGAAATAAGGATGAAAATGTCAAAAAATAAAATGCAGGGACATTTTGCACAATAACATTAAAAGATAAAGACATTTTGTGCTGATCACCCTTTCATGCTCCATTCTTGTAGTAATAGCACATTTTTAACCCTCGAGCATCGACCTAGAATACAGGATGGATTATTTCCCATATCACTGTTCATTTGTTCAAGCAGTTGATGCTATCCTGTGTTTCTCATTTGAACCAATGTGAAAGTCTTTGCATGTTCTGTTAACTTGTTTTATTTATATTGCTCTAGTTAAATAGTCACCTTCAATGATTTATTGGTTTCATATTTGTTTATATTGCAATAAACAATTAGAAGTTTAATATGGTCTGTAAAAATAGTAATTCAATTTTACATTTTGAAGTCAGAACCCCTTTTAATTCAGATCAAAGTCAATAATTAATTTAATTACACACAGGGTCGGCCTTGAGAAATATGATGAACTAATGAATTTTTAAGATGGCTGATTAAATATAATCATCAATTAAAAAATGGCGGATATTCTCTATACAATTCCATCTTCACCAGATAATACTAAGCCCAATGATGATGGTAAACCAGGGGTTTATTAGGATGTTAATCATGCTAAGCAATGACAGTTAAGAAACATAGTTTTTCATTCCGAGCAAGAAATTTCCTTTATCCTTTCCAAATTTTTTGAGCTCCAACAGAACCTGAAGGCACACAAATACATGCACCAAGTATTCTCTTATTTATTTTGCAATTTTCCTTGTCATCCCAGGCTAAAATTCAGCCATTAACATTTAACAAAATAAATATAAGCAAAGCTATCGAACCATTTACTTAATTTTAACAGACAAACAAGATTCACAAAATCCAATTCAAAATTCAATATCTCAATATTATGTATCAGAAGAATTCAAGTGATCGATAAACCTATAAAAATGACTTTAATTCCTTCTCAAATTATAGAAATCCACATTTTATTGAACATTAGAGTCATTCTTTATTGAATGAACAATAGAGAAAAATACAATCTCGAAAATAATACATGAGACACGAGAGAAATTGATGAACACAAAACCATTACTTCCAATTTCTTCTGCAAATATACTTTTGTGAACTCTACAATTTGGAAAATTTTCTACCGTTTTTTAATCTTCTCACTGTCTATCTTCTGACCTATGTAAAAAGGGATTACTTTAAATGGGTGGATTTTGGACGGTATTAGGTGCTGGTTTCGGCTGCTCTTTTTTCTTGAGGAAATACACAAAAATGGCTCTTCCACTGTAGCAAAAATTGACATTGGCCTTTGACCCATTAAATGAATTAAAAAAAAATTAAGTTCAAAAAAAAAAACTTCATAGTAAAAACCCATTTTACCCTTCAGACTGTTTGAATTATCTCTCACCGACCGAACCCATCGATCGACCAGTGCAGAAATCCGACCGACCGACCACCGGAGTTACACCAACGTCGCAATCAACGATCATCATCTACAGTGGAAGTAAAAGAACCGGTTAGTTTTCTGATCTTTCTTCAGTTCGAATGCTCTTTTTCATAGTATAGCATTATTAGTAATTTTGATTGAAATTAGATCCATGGGAATGAGTAGCTAGATTGTGGGCATGCTGGAGTGTGAAAAATGTGATTTTTTGCCATTTTTTGGAGCTCAGTGGCCAGGAATGGCGGTTTCCGGCCGTTTCCCAGCCACCGGGCTCTGAGACGCACCAAACCGACTGTTAACAGTCGGGCATCTGGGCCGGTTCACCGGCCCAGATTAAATATTTAAATTTTAACTTTTTTATAATTTTTGTAATTAATTAAATTTTTTATTTGATTAAATAGTAATTATATTATTTACTTATTTAATTTTTTTATCATTGTCAATATAATATAATAATTGAAATATTGTAAAATTAACAATGTTGATTATTTTTTTTATGAAATTATCTTTAATTTATTTTTTCAAATTTTTTTATGAAATTATCTTTAATTTTTTATTTAAAATTTATTTAATTTTTATATTTGTCTTTTATATAATTTAATAATTCAAATATTGTAAATTTAACAATGTTGATTCTATTATTTTTATGAAATTATCTTTAATTTATTTTTTTAAATTTATTTAAATAATATCTATAGTCTAAATTTTAAAAAAAGGTAAAGTAATTATTTATTTAATTTTTATATTTGTCTTTTATATAATTTAATAATTCAAATATTCTAAAATTAACAATGTTGATTCTATTTTTTTTATGAAATTATCTTTAATTTATTTTTTTAAATTTATTTAAATAATATCTATAGTCTAAATTTTAAAAAAATGTAAAGTAATTATTTATTTAATTTTTATATTTGTCTTTTATATAATTTAGTAATTCAAATATTCTAAAATTAACAATTTTGTGTTGTTCCTTTTTTTTTAATGAAATTATCTTTAATTTATTTGTTTAAATTTATTTAAATAATATGAATAGTCTAAATTTTAAAAAACGGTAAAGTAATTATTTATTTAATTTTTATATTTGTCTTTTATATAATTTAATAATTGAATTATTCTAAAATTAACAATGTTGATTCTATTTTTTTTATGAAATTATCTTTAATTTATTTTTTAAAATTTATTTAAATAATATGAATAGTCTAAATTTAAAAAAAAGGTAAAGTAATTATTTATTTAATTTTTATATTTGTCTTTTATATAATTTAATAATTGAAATATTCTAAAATTAACAATTTTGTGTTGTTTCTTTTTTTTTATGAAATAATCTTTAATTTATTTTTTAAAATTTATTTAAATAATATAAATAGTCTTTACATTTTTCGAAAATGTATTTAATTTTAAATTTTTTGTTTGTAAATATATTTTTCAAATAATAATTATTTTATTTAATTATTTAATTTTTATAATTTCCTTTTTTATATAATTTAATAATTGAATACATAATATTGTTCGAAATTAACAATTTGTTTTGTTCCTTTTATTGTTTTTTTATGAAAATCTTTGATTTTTTTTAATTTATTTAAATAATATTTATATTCTTTAATTTTTTTGACAATACATTTAATTTGATTTGTTGTTTTTTATATATATTTTTCAAATGTAATATTTGTGATTGTATGGTAGTTAGAGTTTGATTCTCTTGATTTTGTGAGATTATGCTTTATTTTGTTATCTCTTGTTCAATGCTATAACATTTGAATTTTTACAGAATGGATTATCATTTAGATGCAGAGTTGAGACGGATGTCGGGGAAAGCTACTTGGAACAGTAGTTTTGAGAGTTTTACTGCTGTATTGGAGCTACTCGATTATCAGCACGAAGATATTCTACGACAGTCCTTCTTGTAGCCACTGTACCAGTTGCGAGAGGTGCAGTACTCAGGACAGATCATTGATGCACTTCTATGTCGGCTTCTGAGGCCAGTCGACGGCGATTCCCTCCAGTTCGACCTCGGGGGCAAGGTCGTCAGTTTCTCGATGTTTGAGTTTACATTGATCACTAGACTGAAGATTACGGGCGACGATGCAGCCATGGAGAGAAGCAGTAGGCTGTACGAGACGTACTTTCAGGGACATGGGTCGGTGCTTCTACCCGACTTGATGGTCGCGATCAGGGGGTGCGACCATATGCTAGATAAATTGAAGCTTGGGCTGGTCTACATCCTCGAGAGTGTGATGAGGTGTCATCACAAGAAGACTGCCATCGACATTTTTCATTTGCAAGTTGTTGACGACATCGTTGCGTTCAACAACTATCCGTGGGGCCGAAAATGCTACGAAGACACTGTACATGTGTTCACCAGATCGCACTCGAGGCCTAGGGGGTCGATGCGTAAATACGATACATATGGATTGCCGTTAGCAGTACAGGTAAATGTTTAATATAATCAAAGTTAAAGTTTTAGTGTATTACATTGATGCTTAATAAGTGTATGTGTTACAGATTTGGGTGTATGAGACAGTTCCTGTACTGGGGGCCCGCTTTGCACAGCGAGGGGAGACACGCTGCCCTCGGATGCATCATTGGAGATCATCGCGAGCGGAGGGATGTCCCACCGGGAAGCAGTTATCGGCCCTCCTCGACGATCCTCAGGTAAGTATTATGCATTTGTGATTTATATTATACGTAGTTTAAAATTTTGTTTACATGATCGTTAAATAGTTGAAATGTCAATATGTCACCTTGAAGTCATACCTGAGTTGACGCCATCGATGGAAGAGGAGGCTCGGGGTCTTGTGCGGGATTTAGGCGTTCCGCACACCCCAGACGAGGAGATGCCTGATCCGAGCTTGGACCGAGATTGGGTATGTGAATGAAATATAATTTATTGAATATGATCGACGTATAAATTTATTTAATAATTTATTGAATAATTTTTCATTTTATTTATGTAGGAGGGTGGTCCAGCTGATCGACGATCACCTCCGCCGGGGCCATCGCCGCCACCATTGGCATCATCTCCGCCGAGAGTATCGTCCCCGCCATTGGCATCACCTCCGTCGAGGGCATCACCGTCGCTAGTGGCATCACCTCCGCCGGGGCCATCGCCGCCGCCATTGGCATCACCTCCGTCCAGACACCTCCCCTGTGTGTCTCCGGGGCACAGTGATGATTTGTATGCCCATTTGACTGGATTTATAGCGGAGGAGGTCGGCGCGCTACGACGAGATTTGACGGAGAGGGTCGATGATCTGGGACGAGAGTTGACAGGGAGGGTTAACGATCTGGCAGGGAAGGTTGACTATATGACAGGGAGGGTCGACGATATGGGATGAGAGTTGACAGGGAGGGTTGACGATATATCCCATGATGTTGGAATACTACAGTCTTCCGTTGTCGACCTTCAGGATACAGTAGCGGCGCTTAGGGGAGATTTAGCCGGCAGACGATGGGGGGACAGACGGGATGGCGGAGATCATGATCGAGAGGGTGGCAGAGATGGTGATGGAGAGGGGGGTAACCCACATTTTTGGCATGATGAGACATTGGAGTCCTTGTGGTTGTCTATGGAGGGGGTGGCCCCGATGGGGATGGGAGAGGGGACTACAGAGGGGGTGGCCCCGACAGGAGGGGCGGAGGAGGTGGCGACGGGAGGGGGAGGCCTCGGCGGGAGGGGCGGAGGGGGTGGCGACGGAGGGGGAGGCCCCTATGGAGGGGGCGGAGGAGGTGGCCCCAGAGGTCGAGAGGACGCCCGGCGTGATTGAGGGTAAGAGACATGCTGTTGATGAGACGGAGCAGGTGGTCGGCAAGAGATTGAGAGTGCCGTCACAGTATGTTGTTTTCCCCTTCACGGCTGAGGCCAAGAGGAGGACGTTCATCGATGGGACATACCCGAACTTATTCAGAGAGGTGGACAATGCCAAGTGAAAAGCGTTCGAGACAGAGTGGAGGAGAATTATCCCCAGGTAAGTATTGTATGATTTTAATAAAGTACTGTACGCTAACTCGTCTACGCTTATTTTAACATTTCCCTCTTTTTTACAGAGCTAGCCGTATGATAGGACAAAGGACGATCTCGGACCCTTACAAGTGGTTCCACGATATCACCACTGCGGGAGCTTGGCTCGCTGACGATGTAAGTGAACTATTCATTTCGTGTTTTTTATGTATATGTGTCCTTGTGTTTATTAAATGAATAACTCATTCTTTTTCGGTGTTTCCTGCTGCAGCACATCGACTTGGCCATGGACTTGCTGCGAGATCGAGCTCAAAGACATCCAAAATCATTTGATGTCCATGGTCGAGTCATATTAAACACCGAGTTCCTGGGTACCGTTACCATAGAGTATCAGTCGCTCGCACATATGGGTAACGAGTACACGGTGCCAGAATATATGCTCGAATGGGTGATAGGACTGTCACCGAGTGTCGGGGGAAAATCATGGGAGGGTTGTACACATATGTACATTCCAGCGTGCATCAATAAACACTATGTTACGCTGGAGATCATTTTTGCTGACTCGACTATATATGTGTACGACCCAGATCATTCATGTTTGACACAAGGCCAGTTGGAGCAAAATCTGGAGTCCGTGGCTGTCATTGTTCCTATGATGGCCAGACGAGCGGGGATAAATGTACAGGACATATTGCGGATCGTTCGGAGCAAAATCTGGAGTCCGTGGCTGTCATTGTTCCTATGATGTAAGTGAACTATTCATTTCGTGTTTTTTATGTATATGTGACCTTGTGTTTATTAAATGAATAACTCATACTTTTTCGGTGTTTCCTGCTGCAGCACATCGACCTGGCCATGGACTTGCTGCGAGATCGAGCTCAAAGATATCCAAAATCATTTGATGTCCATGGTCGAGTCATATTAAACACCGAGTTCCTGGGTACCGTTACCATAGAGTATCAGTCGCTCGCACATATGGGTAATGAGTACACGGTGCCTGAATATATGCTCGAATGGGTGATAGGACTGTCACCGAGTGTCGGGGGAAAATCATGGGAGGGTTGTACACATATGTACATTCCAGCGTGCATCAATAAACACTATATTACGCTGGAGATCGTTTTTGCTGACTCGACTATATATGTGTACGACCTAGATCATTCATGTTTGACACAAGGCCAGTTGGAGCAAAATCTGGAGTCCGTGGCTGTCATTGTTCCTATGATGGCCAGACGAGCGGGGATAAATGTACAGGACAGATTGCGGATCGTTCGGAACACGACGACAGCGCGACAGTCCGTAAGGTAAGTGTTTGAACGTTGTTGTTTTCATCTTTCAGATTTAGTTTTTATTTACACAGTACTAAACTGATTCATTCTTGTTCAATTGCAGTGACGACTGTGGCATATTTGCCATTAAGTACGTTGAATTTTTAAGTATAGGAAATAAGGTTGATGAAATCAACCAGTCATGGATACAGAACTGGAGAAAAAAGTTAGCATGTGATTTGTTCGAATTTAATGCTGACCCATAAATTTCATTTATACATATGTAACATTTCAATTGTAAATTTAATTATTTTTGTAATTATGAAATAATTATAAATTTATGTTCAATGTATATAACGTTCAAATTGGAAATTTAATTATTTTTGTAATTATGAAATAATTGTAAATTTGTGTTCAATGTATATAACATTCAAATTGAAAATTTAATTATTTTTGTAATTATGAAATAATTGTAAATTTGTGTTCAATGTATATAACATTCAAATCGAAAATTTAATTATTTTTTGTTATTTTGAAATAATTGTAAATTTGTGTTCAATGTATATAACATTCAAATTGGAAATTTAATTATTTTGGTAATTCTGAAATAATTGTAAATTTGTGTTCAATGTATATAACATTCAAATTGGAAATTTAATTATTTTGGTAATTCTGAAAATAATTGTAAATTTGTGTTCAATGTATATAACATTCAAATTGAAAATTTAATTATTTTTTGTTATTTTGAAATAATTGTAAATTTGTGTTCAATGTATATAACATTCAAATTGGAAATTTAATTATTTTGGTAATTCTGAAATAATTGTAAATTTGTGTTCAATGTATATAACATTCAAATTAGAAATTTAATTATTTTGGTAATTTTGAAATAATTGTAAATTTGTATTCAATGTAATATAACATTCAAATTGAAATTTTAATTATTTTTTGTTATTTTACCCGTATGTCGAGTGTGGAACTATTTTTTATATATTGAAGATTTATAAATAACAAATATTGAACAGTGTATAGTAAAAGGAAATATTATTCATTTCACGTACCTATCTAGTCGTCATTTAGGGGAATTTGACTGGTACAAAATTGTCGAGTATGCCCTACGGCTCTGCACCGGCCACACCTACGTGGTCGAGGAAACTCTCCGGTAGATGGTATTCTAGATGTACTTGGACGTCCAGGACCACGCGGTTCAACTGCTGGTGGTAACAAATTATGAAATGGGAGAATGTGCTCGGGAACTTCCCACTCGGCTTCATTCGACAGAGGAAATATAGTCTCAGTATATGCTGTTCTCCAAGACTCAGTCGTATAATACAAAGAGCACAACGTTCTCGCAGCAAAGCCTCGATACATGGTCACCGCAACTGCATGCTCACATGGAAAACTCTCCAACTGAAATCTCGTACAAGTGCATGTGTTATCAGTCAAGTCCACCATATATGCCGTATTACGTGCACATTGCACGGAGAAGCGAAACTCATCTAGTGCTTCCACATTCAACTTCCTCGCAACCTCTGCCGTCTTAAACAGTTTCTCCTCTTGAGCTGGGGCCAACACGCTAGTGCAACTCTCTGATGCCGCACGTCGGTCATGAAACCACTGTTGTAGCTTGTTACGAATGTTCTCAATCATTGCGAGAATTGGTAACTCTCGGTCCTTCTTAAACAATGCATTGAGAGACTCCGCGTTATTCGACGTCATCATATTGTATCGACGTCCTGGAAAGTATGCCCGCGCCCAATGTTCGATCCCCATCTTCGTCAGATACTCCAACGCCGGTAATGATTTACTTCCTATCTCGAGCATGAACTTATTACACTCTTCAGCACTGTAAGTTTCGGCTGCTCTCCTGAACAATGAAACGATGCCTGTGCCCCGATACCTAGTCTTCAAATTACCTTGTATATGGTACATGCAATACCCGTGATG